CAAAAGAAAACAACAAAAACCAATGACAAAAAAAAGAAAAGCCTGTAAATAAGTCAAGGTCTGTTTGTTGACCCTTTAGGGGTCAAACACTTTTTCTTGAATAATTTTGCCAAATTGCTGCAAGTTTTGATTGATTTCCAGAGTTCTGAAAAGGTTGATTCTGACAATTTCCCCCCATTGTTTTTAGGGAATAGAGAATTTCTGGAATTGTAAAAGACTTTTTACTTTGCTTTTTTGTTGACACCCTGGTTATTTGTTTTAATTCTATTTAACTTCATAATAATCCTTAGCTCTTAATCCCTCTCATTTAAAAAATTATTTTTAAATAATTTAAAACTCAAATGATAGGTAAAGGGTAGCTTGTCAGAATTTGAAACGGATTTATTACCATAAACCAGTCCCTCATGTTAACCATTTTTTCAGACCCTGCCCATAATAACCTTAACCCTTGGTAAATACTGATATGCTCTCCATCTGTAATTTGATCATGCTGAGATTCATATTAATATAATCGTATGGTATGTAATCTCGATACTAGCATTTTTCACTCAAAAAGGACTGTTGAGGTTCACAGAGTTGTTCTGAGTGTCGCTTATTTCTTTCCGTTTTGTGGATATGCCAGAATTTGTGTATCCATATTCTTGTGGAAGGATAATGGGGTTGTTTTCAATTTGGGACTATTGTAAATAAAACTGCTATGAACATTTGCATATAGTATTTTTTTGGTGGACATACATTTCCATACTCTTTGCTGGGACATATGATACATGAATTTTTAATTTTATAAGAAAGTGCCGAATTATTTTGCGTAGTGGCTAATTAATCTTAAAGATCCTTTGATACTCCTTCCAAATAGATAAACTGTTAACATCCATAATTAAAATGAGAAAACCTCACTGCCATCAAGTTGACGCCTGCTCTAAGTGACCCTACCGGTCCGCAGTGTAGCACTGCCCCTGTGGGTTTCTGCGACTCTTAACTCTTTCCAGGAGTAGACAGCCCCATCTTTCTCCCGAACAGCAGCTGGTGGTTTTCAAACTGCTGCTGTCCTTGCAGTTAATAGCCCAAGTGACTGCCATACCCCCAGGGCTTCTTACATCTATAGTAGAGCTCAAAGGTTTATGGGAAAATTCCGTTGTCTTTTAATTCCATTTTTCCATGAACTGTTTGAAGCCCCTTTATATTTGATGAAATATTTTTATAATTTAAGAAGTCATGACATAAAAGTTTCTTAAAAATTTGAAACTTTGGCTTTGGGGTTTTTTAAAAATACATATAGTTGATTTTTCTGTGTTAGTAGTGTCTTTTGTAAACTGTTCTAGGAGATTGCACACATTCTGCCTCAGAAAGAGGACTTAACTTGGTGGTGTTTAAATTTGCCCCATTTGTGCCACACAACCCTTCTCTAGTTACAGAGTAACCTTAAAAAACCAAGAGCCTACAATCAAAATGAAAACCAGTAGTCTGGCCGCCACCAGTGAGAAGTGGATACTTTGAGGATCTTGTTGCATGTGAATTGCCTGTCTTTTTGAGAAATGGACTTACATGGGAAAAAGACAAGGCTTTCTACTCCCATAAAGTCTAAAAAAAAAGAGAGTCTCAGAATTTACCAGGGGCACTTCTACCCTAGTAGTCCTTATGAGTAAGAATCAACTCAATGGCGAGATGTCGGACAGGGCAAGATATGACAAAATAATAATTTATAAATGATCAAGGGTTCACGAGGTGGGGGAGGGAGGGGGAAAAAAGAGGACTTGATGCCAGGGTCTAAGTGGAGAGCAAATGTTTTGAGAATGATGAGGGCAATGAATGTACAAATGTGCTTTACACAATTGATGTATGTATGGATTGTGATGAGTTGTATGAGCCCCTAATAAAACGATTTAAAAAAAAAAGAATCAACTCAGTGGCATTGAGCATGATCTGGTTATATCTGCATTAATCCACTTTTCACTTACCACTTTAATGAAGGAGAATTGGAGCACAAAGAAATTAAGGCTTTAAAATATATTTAAAGGAGTTTACACCTCTCCCATTTTGTACCTTGAAAAACTTTAAATTTGCAGAAAGGTATAAGACTGGCATCATAAACACCCATCTCCTTTTACCTAGATTCACCAGTTATTAACATTTTAGTTAAATTTGTTTCATATTTATATATTGGAAGGTCCTTCAGAAAGTTTGTGGGAAAATGGAATTAAAAGATAGTGAAAATGGAATTAATTAAGAGATAGTGAAAAATTTTCACAAGAAAGGACTAGATTTACATAAAACTATAGGAAGTGTTTGTTCTTTTTTTTTTTTTAGCTCAAGACAGCATATCTTTTAAAGAAATTCTAGGAGAAAAATACATGAAAGTAATGAAAGTTAGCTGGCCTTTGGTGGGATGGCTTTCAGTGTTTTTCCTTACCATGTTTGTTTTTTGTTTATTTGCTTCTAAATTATATTTCTGCATTTAAAAACTAAATGTGATAGGGGTAAATATATATTTTAAAAACCTGAATTTTTCTATAAAAGTTACCTTAAAACTCAGCTTTTAGGGTCAAAGAATGTAGTGTATGTGATGTACTCTGTTACACAAAATAAGTGGACCAGTACTGGTCCACTGAGATGTTGCAGGTTAAGGCTGTTTTGTATCTTGCTACATGTGCTTGCTTTCTTTTTATGTTTCAGTGCCAAACCTAAGTCAGAAATCCACGTGTCTATGACCACTCCAGTCTCTGTGTCCATGGAGACAGTGTCTAATCAAAATAATGACCAGCCCACCATTGCTGTCCCTCCCACTGTGCAGCAGCCTGCACCAACCATTCCAACCTTGATTGCAGCAGCTAGTCCCCCATCACAACCATCCGTTGCCCTTTCAACCATTCCTGGAGCAGTTCCCATTACTCCTCCCATCACTACCATTGCAACTGCCCCCCCACCATCAGCAGCTGTGGGCAGCAGTCTCTCCTCTGTGTTGGGCACTCCTGTACCTGAGATAAAAATTAAAGAAGAAGTGGAACCAATGGACATCATGAGACCAGTTTCTGGTAAGTTCATTCACAGAATACTCTCTGTTGGCAGTTGCTTTTTGTCTTCAAAGTCCAAACTCATATGCAACCCTTAGCAAGCAAGTCCAACTAATTAATGCCCATTTGAAATGATATCATTAGAATTCTCTTTAGAGTTTGGATTTTTCAAAACTTTTAGCCCTCGTGTATGGTGTACATGTATTTCACGAGTTCTTAATAAATAGAACATGTAGCTCCTTCTAAAAGCTAAAATATTTTTTGCTACTTTTTTATAATTTTTATTTATCCAAATGGATCTAAAACTAATTTTTAATTAAGAAAATAGTTGTGCATCACTTAGCACACCTGATACTGTCTCTGAAATAGGATGTTATATGATTTAGGAATTGTACCAACACTATATATACAAACTGCCTGGATTATGAACGAATTTCATTTCTGAATTAAGTTGAATGTACATAAGTCAGAACAGATTCAGTTTGTTTCTAACATCAGTTGATATTTGTCTTAGTATATAGTTTACTCATCTATGCATTAAAAATATTTTTAACTAACCTTTCCAGATATTCTAAAAACTGTATCAGGCATCTATAATAAACTAATAATACCCAATTGTCATTATGAACCATTGTATATATCTCAAATTCTAAATGTAAGAGATTTTATGAGGCATGTATATTGAACATATATTACTCTTTGATGTTGCCTGAAGGAACATGCGTGCCCACGACTATATTGACACAACGGTTTCACTCCTAGGCATATACCAGGAAAATTGAAGCAAGAGCACAACTATAGACCAGTGTATGCCCATTAATAAATAAGTGGTAAAAGATGGTGTATATATACAATGACATATATTCAACCTAAGGAGAAATGACTCACTACAACATGGTTGAATCTTGAAATCATTATATTAAATGAATCACAAAAAGAAAAATATGCTATATGATCTCTCTTAATATGAAGTATGTATACTTCAAATATATGGCAAATATATGGATACCAAAATGCATTGAAGATTAACAGGAACAAGAGGGTGGAAGAGAAAGGGTGTCCTTGCTCAAAACACACACAGACTTTCTCTTGGTGATGAAAACATTTATAAGTGGATAGTGTTAATGTTTGCACCCTTGTGAAGCATAATTAAGGTCACTGAATTGTACACATTAAAAATGTTGAAATGGCAAATATTTTGTAAAATATATACACATAGACACGGAATGCTTAAAAAGGTTCATGGAAAAAGGGAATTAAAAGACAATGAAGTTTTTCAGAGAACTTTTTGAAGCCCTTTTGTATATACACGGTGTATATTTCACTCCAAATTTTAAAATTAATGTCTTGTAAAGGAGGTTAAGGTAACTGGATTAAATATTCAAATATCCACTGCTTACAGATGTCCTACTTCCAGGCCATTCCTACTTGCCCTTTTATTTTTTTTAATGTTTTATTGTGATTTGGGTGAATATTATTGGTTTTCCATACGCATTTTGTTTTTTGACACTGACTACAATCCATGCAATATAACAACACTCTTCCCTCTTATTATCAGTTATCATTCATCCTTCTTTCCTATCCCTTCTATTTTTTATCCCTGGTCAAATACTGCCCTTTTGATCTTGAATGGTTGATTGTTCTAAAAATGTACCTCCTTGGTGTTATGAACCTAGAAATTGTCTAAAAGTTAAACCATGCGTGAGTTGAATTTCAGGCCTGAAGTGTGTCTTAAGTAAGGACCATAGTTTCAAGGGTTCACCAGTCTCTTACCAGATCAATGGGTCTGGTCTTCTTTATGATTTTGAATTTTGTTCCATATTTTTCCTCCCACACTGTCCTGGACCTGCTAATGTGATCCCGTTCAGGTCTGTCAGCATTGGTAGTATGACATCATCTAGTGCTGGTACCAGAGTCTTGGAGGTTGGGGCTTATGTGGACTAATTATTTTCATGGGTCTTTTTTTTTAATATATATATTTGAGAGATTTATTAAAGCTTTTTTTTTCTTATTTTTTAAAATCATTATATTAGTGGCTCATACAACTCTTATCATTATTAAAGCATCTTATCACAAAGATGGAAATATACAAATTACAAACATGCAACCATCTACTTCCATGGTCAAGTCAAAATGTTACATACTTTTCCCATTCTGAAAACTTCAGGTCTTATGTCCAACTCACTCACCCTGAATATTTAATTCACTCTTCCTGAAAGTACCCAAGGTAGCTAGTAACAAAATTGCAGACTATTATATGAAGAAAGTGCACAATTACAAAAGAAAGTACATGGAGAATAACCCCTTCCCACCCACCCCCAAGTAAAGGCAAATAGTGGAACTTTGTTCTCACCTAATCTAGATTGTCTTCAAAAACTATGTTAAAGTATTTAGACTTAACAACAAAGAATACTTTTAATAGATGTTGGAAACATCTAGTGTTTTGAAAACAAATGCTTACACAAACAGAAAGCATTTTATATCAAATAAATTTGAAGAAAGAGCCCTGTATTGCAGCATTCTGCAAAACGAAGGACAAGCTGGTAGAGGTTTTCTTGACACAGGCAGGCTTTCTTCAGGCAGCAGGTATGTAAGGAGGCAGAGGTTCCTTTTCAGGTACCTTCACTGCCATCTCATAGGTTGGCAAAACATGCTGAGGAGGTGCTTCGAAGGCAGGGTACACAGCAGTCTCCGGCAAGTTCCTGTTGTTGATGAATTTAAAGCAGTTCCAGACACGGTTTATGAGGTAGGCCTTAAAGATGATGAAAAAGACAAAGAACAGAAGAATAATGAACAGGAGGCAACTGGAGTCCAAGGCCAGGGAGTCATCTTTGTAGGGAAAATCAGGTAATTGGTCCAGGTGTTCTTTGAATCTTGGCAAGTAAGTGAGAACTGATAGCAACCTGGCAACTGAGAATGAAGTCAAAGGCACTTGAAAGTCAGGAACACTATCAGGACTGCCTCGGAGCCTCCCTCTTGATCGGACCCCTGAGAAAGGCTTTCCGCCCAGCAGCTGGACCCCAATAGCCCGGGGTCCAGAGCCCGCCCCTTACCCACTCCTTTTCTTCTCTTTACTCTGGATTTAAGGAGCCAAATAGCCTACTTAGCTTTTAGTGTTGTATAAATGTCCTTACTTTGAAATTACTAAACCAACTCTTACTGGCAACAAATTCTTCACAATCACTTTAGGTGGCTGCATGTACAGCCTTTAAATTATTGAAAGATTTGTGGTTTTTCTTGGCACTACAGTAAGGCCCAATAAGAAACCTGCCTGACTTGCCTACAGATTCTTAAAACCATAGAAACAGATCTCATTCCCCATGTCTTAACCTCTTTCCATTTTCCCTCCATTTGTTCAATAAGAAGTGTAATAGTGCTAGGAGCACTATAAATATAATAGGGCAAAGAAAATAATATTCTGTGGATATGTTTATGCTTAACACTTCCACTTAAAATTAACATAGGGGTAACCCAGGAAGGAGCATGAAGTTCTATCAGAGACTGCCTGTATATTTTAGTATATTTGGCCCAGAAGATTCAGTGATGCTAATTTCCTTGTGAGCAGTTAATCTCTCCAGTAAATTGCTTATCATGATAAAAATTGATCTATCGTGTAGTACAATACTATAAACTTTGAATAACACCATATGAAGCCCTTATGAAGTACCACTAGTGATGCTAGAAATGCTCCCAAGGAAAGTCATGATGAGAAAATGTTGAATCACTTGATAGGTACCATAGATTGAGGTCAGGAGCTGTAGTTGCCCAACATTTTAGGGTCAGAATCCAGCATAAGGAACCTTTTAAAAGGGCCGGGGTGGGGTGGATGCATGAAACTGACCTTGCAGCTACACTAGTAGGCTTGAAAGCCAAGCACTTTCACCAATACACCTTTTTGTATCTGAAATTCCATTTTTATGTAGTTGTAGTATATAGTACATGTAACATAAACAGAATTGGTTAAAGTAACTATCATTATTTAAAAAATTGGAGTCAAAAGTTATACATGATTTTCAACTGCAAAGGGAGTTGGCACACCTAATCCCTGAATTATTCAAGAGTCAACTGTGCTGTTGCTTTATGATTATTTCCTGCCCATTTCTGAAAGGAATTGAAAGGCTGTACAGTAAATAACATGAGATTTATATTATTGAAAATTCTTGCCTGTTAAACTTGTATCAACTATTCATTAATCCTGTATTCCCTCCTTCCCTTTAAAAAAAAATCTATACTTCTAATATAGAAAGTCAGGTTAGTTTGAGGTTTTCCTTTTGAGATTTTTATGTGTGTGTGTATTCTGTAAAATCTGATTTTCCTTGACTATGAAGCAGAAATCCAATTATTCTCTTAATTACCCAATCTTGTTATCTTAACCTCTTTCCATTTTCAATGCCATTTGTTCATGAAAAGTGTGGTTATGTTTTGAGATATATAAATTTATTATGCCAATGTTTATGTATATATTTATTATACATCCTTCTATGGATATATTTGTGGTCAGCACTTCCACTTAAAATTAACATAGGGGTAATGCAGGAGGGGAAGTGAAATATTCTTAATGTGCTACTCATTTTCTTTAAGGTCTTTTCTAGTTCTCCTTATTCTGTATCAGGAAAATCAGGAAATGGCAGTGATCCTGTCTAACTACAAGGCTTATCATGTCTTTATCAAAAGGCATTGTCTTAGGCACTGAGGATGCAGCATTGTACAAAACAAAAGACAGCCCCATCTTGGAATTTACCTTCTGGCAAGGGAGAGAAATAATACAAATAAATCTAAAATACATGAACATATACTTGTACCTCCTGTAAGTGCTAAGGAAGAAAATAAAGCAAAGGAAGAAGACAACAGTTGGGGGTCTTGGCTATAATTAATAGCTTTTCCTTTCAGCTGTAAAGGGAAAACCTCACTGATAAACTGATAAGAAAGAAATGAGGGGCGGCCTTTTCATGTACCAGGAAGGAGGCAATAAACTGACAATGGCCTGTTAGAAAAATAAATCTATCTCAGAAGTACAGCCAGAATGTTGTGATTTTTTTTCAATAGAAAAGGAAAATCGATGCATGGAATAAAATTGATCATAGATTTTAAGTAGTGTGATCAGAGAAGGATGTAGGACAGTAAAGAAGTGCCAAGTATGGAGTAGAGTGAAAATAAGAGTTGAGGTGAGTTTTCAAACCCATGCGTTTTAAAATCCATCTAAGTACATAAAACTCAATCCATGGAGCTCTGTCTCTGAAGTCAAGAGTGTGGAGTAATTCAGAGAGCACCTGCTGATGCCAGCTGCCTCTGTCAGATCCCACCTCTTCCACTTAATCTATCAATTGGAAGATAATAACAATGCCTATTTGATTATTTGTAAGATCATAGGAGTCTAAAGAGCTGAAAACTAATTATTTAAGCTCATAAAAGTTTGATTGTCTCTCTTGGAGCAAGCCCTGAGACTGACAGACCAGGGATGCTTTGGGGGCTCTGTGAAATCTTTAGAGACTCAGGCTCTTTCCACCGTTTACCCTACCACTCCCTCAGGATGTGTCATAGCTTCTTTCTTTACCGTCTAAGGAATTTCCTGAAAGCACTAAAAAAGACTCCCACCTCATAAGTAGCTACGCCTCCCTCCAAGGACATATAGTCTTATGACTGGGTAGCAATGTGGCCATCTGAAAAGGAGGGTCTGAGGGCTAAGGAGAATGTTCCTGGTGACAAAAGTGCTCTAGCCAGAGGCACCCCGGGAGAAGCACCCAATGAAAACTCCCTTGAGCTCCGTTCTAATTTGACACACATAAGCGTACCATGAGTTGGCATGAATTCAGTAGCAACTAGTCATATGCGGGGCTTTATAAAGTTTGTGGGAAAATGGAATCAAAAGATAATGGAATTTTTCCTTAATGCCCCCTCTAGTTACAGAAGATGAGGGTGTATGCTGTATTGGGTGGAGTAGTTGGCTGGCTCTGCTTCAGCATACAGTACAGACAGTACACAAGATTCAATAAATGTTAGTTATATGTACTACTTGCATAATTGTTCTCATTTTTAGGAATCAAATAGAGTTTTCTGTTTTGCTTTTTACTTGGGTTCCTATAGATGTGTATTCTTTTCCTATAATAGCAGTTCCTCCACTGGCTGCCAGTACTATGTCTCCATCTCTTGCATTGCTGGCTAACAACCTGTCAATGGCAACAAGTGACCTCCCACCCGGTGCCTCCCCAAGGAAAAAACCTCGGAAGCAACAGCATGTAATTTCAACAGAAGAAGGTGACATGATGGAGACAAACAGCACGGATGATGAGAAATCGACTGCCAAAAGTCTTTTGGTGAAGGCCGAGAAACGCAAGTCTCCTCCCAAAGAGTATATTGGTAATGATTCTCAGGGTTAATTACTAATGTTATCTTGTGAGGCTTCCTCACTTCAGTCAGAAGTCAATCCCTGTTGCTCTTTGTCCAGTCAGATTACATAAGCCACATTTATGAATCATATACTAGAATTTCACCTGAAAGGGTGAAAAATTAGAGTAAGCTATTTAATATCTTGTATTTTTCTTCCATGATGAATAGATGAGGAAGGTGTGAGGTATGTCCCAGTGCGTCCAAGACCTCCCATTACTTTGCTTCGTCATTATCGAAACCCTTGGAAAGCTGCCTACCACCACTTTCAGCGGTATAGTGATGTCCGGGTCAAAGGTATGCACATAGATCTATTTCCCCATCGTCATGTAAATATTTTTACGTATGTGGATGCCTATATTTAGATCTCTATAAATGCCTTTTGCCTCTAGTTCCTCCCTCTAGTTCCTTTTACTTTCCTCTTGTCCCACTGTCATGTCCGGCCTTCATTTGGGTTTCAGTAATTCCTCTTGGTTACATTGCCTTTGATCAAGCCCTGCCAGGCCTCCTACACCCTCTTTGCCATCAATTTTGGATCACTTGTTGTTCCCTTGTCCCTGAGTTTGTTAATACACCCACTTCCTTTCCCCCTCTCCCTTGTGCCCCTGGAACCATCAGTCCCCTTGATTTCTCCTTCAGATTGTTATCCCGCCTATCTTATCTAGATGGACCTGCAGAAATAATAATATGGACAAAAGATAAGACAGAGCAAAACAACAACAAAAAAAGAGAAAAGCCTGTAAATAGCTCAAGGTCTGTTTGTTGACATTTAGGAGTGTTTTCTGGTTGAATCTGATGTGGTGCCACACCCTGGCCCCAAAGTCTATTTTTGGTATTCCCTGGGGACTTCGTTGTTCTGTTCCCCTTGCTGTTCTGTTGCACACCCTTAGTCTTTTGCCTCCGTGTGGCGGGGTCTTATTGAGCACAATTCCCACACTGTCTTCAGTGTTGACCCCCGTAGCGCTATGTGTCAGTGAGGGACGTCATGCCTCATATTGGGGCCGGCCCTATAGTCCTCTCTGTGCTTTGGCTGCTTTGAGCTGGAATGTCATCCTCAGGGCTTGGTAGGCAGGATGTGTTCCACTTTCTCTTCCTCCCCCTTAATTTGCTCCTGTATGCTCTGATCAGACATGTCCCTCGCCCTGAGCTGTAGCTTCAGTGCTGTCCTCTAAAGTGAATTATTCTGCAGGGAGGGGGACTGTCCAAATAGTTGGGATTGGGACCGGCCCCTCAGACCTCTTTATTGGTTCCCTGCTTCATGCAGGTATGTTGCATTCATGTCTTGGAGCACTAGGTTGAAGTCTGGTCCCTCTTTGCCTGTGGTGATATGAACAGTACCCTCCCCTAGGGTGGGTTAGTGCCCTGTTCCCATGCTACCCATGTTTTTTTCTTTCTTTTATTTTCCCCCTTCCTTTTTAGTTGGATACCATATGTATCCCTCCATTTGGTCTGGCCCCTGCCATATTACCTATTCCTCACCTCAGGAATATTTGTATACAGTAGCTTTTTTCCTGTTCCCCCTTTGCATTTTTAAGCTTACCTCCGCAGACTCTTGTGGTACTTGTCCTTTTGTGCTTGGCTTACGTCACTTAGCATAACTTCCTCCTATTCTTCCCATGTGGCAATGTGTTTCATGTGTTCATCACTGCTTTTTATTGATTCATAGTACTCCATTGTATGTATGTACCACAGTTTTTAATCCATTCATCTGTTGATGGAAATTTAGTTTGTTTCTAACTCCTTGCAATTGTGAACTGTGCCCAGATGAACGTTGGAGCACAGATGTCTGACCATGGTTTGTTTCTTGCCTCTTCTAGATATATCCTCAGGAGGGGAATTGCTGGGTCATATGGTAGCTCAATGTCCATCTGCTTTAGATATCACCAAATCGATTTCCATAGTTGCTGTATATACCTATAGGTCCACCAGCAGTGGACGAGAATTCCTATCTCACCACAGCCCCTCCAACACTTGTTGCTTTCTAATTTTTTGAATTGGGCTATCTTTGAGGGTGTTAGGTGGTATCTCGTTGTTTTAATTTGCATTTCTTTTATGGCTAATGATCGGGAACATTTTCTCATATGTTTGTTGGCCGTTCGGATTTCTGCCCAATGAAACATAACTTTCCTCTAGTTCTTAAATGCTTCCACCCCACCCACCCACCCACTATCGTGATCGCAATTCTACCTTACAAATCTGACTAGACCAGAGGATGTACACCGGTACAGATAGGAACTGGAAACACAAGGAATACAGGACAGATGATCCCTTCAGGACCAGTGATGAGAGTGGCGATACCAGGAGGGTGGTTGGAGGGAAGGTAGGATAGAAAGGGGGAACCAATTATAAGGATCTACATATAATCTCCTCCCTGGGGGATGGACAACAGAAAAGTGGGTGAAGGGACACATCGGACAGTGTAAGACATGACAAAATAATAATTTATAAACTATCAAGGATTTATGAGGTGGAGGGTGACGGGGAAAAATGAGGAGTTGATGATAACAAGGGCTCAAGTAGAAACCAAATGTTTTGAGAATGATGATGGCAGCAAATGTACAAATGTGCTTGACACAATGGATTTATGTATGGATTGGATAAGAGTTGTATGAGCCCCCAATAAAATAATTTTTAAAAGAAAAAGGGGGAACCGATCACAAGGATCTACATATAGCCTCCTCCCTGGAGAACAGACAACAGAAAAGTGGGTGAAGGGAGACATCGGACAGTGTAAGACATGAAAAAAATAATGATTTATAAATTATCAAGAGTTTGTGAGGGAGGGAGGGGGGAAAATGAGCTGATACCAGGGGCTCAAGTAGAAAGAAAATGTTTTGAGAATGATGATGGCAACAAATGTACAAATGTGCTTGACACAATGGATGGATGTTTGGATTCTGATAAAAGTTGTACGAGCCCCCAATAAAATGATTTCTAAGAATAAATAGATCTTTATCTGGTCAAATTGATTAGTTTAAAAAAAAAAAAAAGATGGTGGAAGGGACCTTGTTTGTCTCAGAGAAGGCAGTTACATGTCTGTTGGTGATTAACCCCAGAGGAGCAACCTCCCATCAGGAAAAACCACTGAATGATACTTATGGACTGTGGTCCTAATTACACCCTTTTGACCATGTTTCTTCTTCCAGCGCCCGTGACCCAGGCTGTGTGCTATTGACTACCGAGCCTCTGGACTCTATCTGTTGAGGCATACTACATCCTTCATAGGTCACACCAGAAAGATTTGATGTGGAGATCCCACTAAGTGAACTGGGCTTAACCTCAAATTCACTTGGAACAGATTTAAGGAACCAACTTAATCCATTGGATTTAAGTCTGAAACACCCCAGTGTGAGAGGAAGCAAATGGACTGCTATCCCACGGTTATGGAATTGGCAGTCCTTAGACTCTAGTTTAGATCTCCTTTGAGGAAGGTTGCCCATTGAAAAGTGACACTTAACTACCATTTGTTTACTATTGAAATGCCCTCTCTGTTTTCTTATAGGAGCCTTGGTGGTGTAGTGGTTACATACCGGGCTGCTAACTGCAAGGTCAGCCATTCAAACCCACCAGCAGCTCTGAGGGGGAAAAGACGGGGCTTTTTTACTCTCGTAAAGAGTTAGAGTCTTGTAAACTCACAGGGGCCTTTCTGCCCCTATCCTGTCCTAAAGGGTCTTTATGAGTTGGCATCAAGTCAGTGGCAGTGATTTCTACTTGTTTTCTTTTTGTTCTTTTTTTTTGTATGTATTAATCTGTTAGGCATGGTTCTACCTTAGATAGTGAATGTTGATGGAAAGTTTTGCCCTATCGTCAACCCCCAATGTTTGTTGTCAAAAATAATGGCCAATCACTTAAGAGTTTAATCTGTATAATTCAATAATATATGTAACATGGTTCATAGCTGGCTTATACTTGCATAATTTCCTTTTCTCAGCAGTGTTTAAAATTCTATACTATTGCCTAAATTAATGATACTATCAATAGAATTACCTTTGCCCCAAGGGGATAATTTATAATCTCACATAAATGATAATGGTAATGATGTCTCTAAAGTGAACCAAAGACACATACTCCACATGAATGGGTTTTGGGCTCGCACTTAATTCTAGCCCCATTGTAAGAGCAATTAGTTCTTATAACATGGTGTGCTGCTCAGTGCTCACCCTCATGAAAAGATCACTGAAGATATGGGTGCTACAGCAAAGTGTGAATAAGAAACTAGGTGGTGCCTGGCTATCAGAAATAACAGCATCTGGGGTCTTAAAGGCTTGTCTTCCAACAAGCAGTCATCTAAGTGAGGCACCAGCTAAGTTCACATGGAAGAAGCACACCAGCCTGTATGATCAATCCCAGGATTGTAAATAATAGAATCCAAAAGAGGGAATTATATCAGAGCTTAAATTGTGAACGCCTGGTTTGCCAAAGGCAATCGATGACAGTGGAAGCCCCAAATCCACTTACAGGGTCCCCACATGAATTAACTCAGAGGAATGCAATATCCTTGTTATCAAATAGCATTGCAAAGTCAACTATGGCAAATGTAATTAAGTTAAAATAGAATACCTTATCATTTGATCTCCCTTTTGACCCATTTAAAAAAATATTTCAGTTAATATTTTTCTCTTTTATATTGAAGCTTTTCTTTGTTTCACTTCATCATTGCTGTTGGTTATTTTTGTTTGCTTGCTTCCTGGTTGGGTTTTGTACAGTTTTCTATATAAGAAATCCAGGATCTATAGACAGTGACTGGATTGACAATTGCCCAGGGTCAAGGCCGAGAATCAGGAAAAATGAGCTAACAAGTACAAAATGAAAATGTTCTGAAATTGTTTGTGGTGAAGATTGCACAAATGTTTTTAATATGGTTGAACAATTAATGTGTGTGTTATGTGATATATATGCCAATAAAACTTTTTTAAAAAGAACAACAAATGAGCAACGTAGGTTAAAAACAGAAAACAGATGACATACATTAGCTCTAACATGTCAATAATTACTTTAAAAGTAAATGATGTTAATATATTAATTAAAAGAGTGACACTGAATTAAAATTTTGACCCAGTGGAAGCAGTCTTTTTTTATAAGAGTGAACTAGGAGCTTACAGGAGAAGGATAAAGGTTTCTGCTCCTAGAAAGACAGGTAGCCTTGGAAACCCACAGGCACACTTGCGCTTTCTCCTAGAGTGGCTGTGAGGGCACAGACGAGAGGGCAGAGAGCTTGGGCAATGTAGATGGACTGTCTTTACAGCTCACGTGATTGGCAGAATGTGTCTTTAAAGTGAGAAAGCTCAAAAAAATAAAAAAATAAAAAAATAAAGTGAGAAAGCTCTCTTCGCCTTGTTCACTGCTATTCCTGTTGACTTGAATTTAAAAGGCCTATTTAGGAATGTGCAGGTAAACCTTAATAAAATAATAGCACATTGGCTAATGACTTTAGTTTTGCGAGCAATTAGATATCGTTATGTTGTTCCAGAGGAGAAAAAGGCTATGCTACAGGAAATAGCTAATCAAAAAGGAGTCTCCTGTCGTGCTCAAGGCTGGAAAGTCCACCTCTGCGCTGCCCAGTTACTACAGCTGGTGAGTGAAGTCCTCGTAACTGAGACCCGGTGCTACAGGAGACGTGAGCATATCTATCTATAGTACCCAGGATTGAAAAATAAGGAATAACCTCAAAGTTGTGGTAATCCAAAAAATACTGTCTTAAGAACATCCAAAAAAAATGTAATGCTTTTGTTGATCTTTGTATGTAGCAGAAAAACAAATTTCTCTGAAAGTTTCAGGTGTATTTGGTTTTGAGGACGGGGGAGGAGGGTGCTGAAGATAAATTATTAAGGACAGTGTTTCAAATTATCCTTAACGCACATACTTAATTTTGGCAAACTGGTATAAATTAGTGTTGATCAGTTCCTCTTGCTGTATATTTACTTTTTGGGAGAAAGAACGTCATCATCTGAACACCTCTTGTACCAGTTTGCAAAGCTATTCAAAGTGGGTTCATTTTAGAAGTGGAGTTTGCCTGAGGTGACAGAACAATGTCTGAATTCCTGATGTCTTTTCTCGCATGTGTTTCAGACAAATCTAGAGCACGATGTTTATGAAAGACTCACCAACCTACAGGAAGGGATTATCCCAAAGAAAAAAGCCGCAACTGATGATGATCTGCACCGAATAAATGAGCTAATCCAGGTTCGTGGGAGCATCCTCTGTGCGGGGTTGTTACCTGTGAAGTTTTAGTCCTTCTTATGTCTACATGTTTCACAGAAATCATTACTTCTTTCAGCTTGCATTGCCAAGAAGCATTAAGTTATTTTTTCTATATGGTGACCTCAAAATGGCATCAACCCAGGTGATGAGACATTCTTTAAAAGCCATGTTGTCCTTATGGTTACTGATGGACGCTGTGTCCTCTCTTTTGTTTCAGGGAAATATGCAGAGGTGTAAATTGGTGATGGATCAAATCAGTGAGGCCAGAGACTCCATGCTTAAAGTATTAGATCATAAAGACCGGGTCCTGAAACTGCTCAACAAGAACGGGACTGTTAAGAAAGTGTCAAAATTGAAGCGGAAGGAAAAAGTCTAGACCCAGGAGAATCAGGACTTTGGAAACAATTTATGAAGAATGATGCTGGGGAGGGCGGACTGGTGATTTTCACAGTGGACCTGGAAATAAAGGAAGCCTTCCTTAATTCACCTGTGAAAGCCAAGGGACCTGTGGCACCCAGTGGCAGAAAGAATCCAAGACAGCCTGACAACACCTTGAAAACTGCCCCCCTCTTGTTTTCAGATGTTTCCCTTTGTGTATTCAATCATTACTGGCTCCTCGTGTTTCAGTGTCTGGTGGAATAAGTGACACAAATGGCTTGCTTAAATTTTCAGCCTCTGATTTATAAACTATATTTATCTGGTGGATTCCTGCAGGACTCATTAAACGTAGACAAAGTATCCACTCGGACCATCTGGTATCTCTCTACACTGAAAATAAAACCTCTTCCCCTCACCCTGGTCGATTCTTATTCTGTTTTACCTTCCAATACCCAAGCTGGCCTTTCACACCAGTGCCGCAGCACCGAAAGAACTGCCACATCTCACATTCTAGAAGGTTTGAAATATTCATGTCATTTTTTTTAAAGAACCATTTCTGAGTGGAATTGTTAAATTGTCCTGTCTGTGTCAGAGCTGGGTGTTGACAAAATAGGCACCACTATAAGGTACTCAGACATCCTGGTTCTGAAGCACCCTCTTAAATATCTACCCTTCCTTAGCTGGTGTGATGCTGTCAGTTGTATGTACCACACATCTCCAAATTCAATAAAGGACTCAAAGAGGTTTTTATACATGAGGAGTTTGTACCTTTCTTATCCAGTCTGTGCTGTACTGAACTTCGCCTAAGTGTCACCCCACTGTAACTTCTCACTCATTGATGAGAGTCGACGATGTTACAGTTTTGTTACTATGCATGAAGAATTCCATTGAGCCTGATATTTTAAGGATTTCACACTGCTAGAATCTGCTGGTTCTTGGTAATCCTCTATCAGATTACCTTGTATCCTGATGTAAATAAATATAAATTGATCAAATTCTAGACAGTGAGGGTAGCTGTCAGGTGTGGAGGACCCCTTCACAAGGTTGCTTCCTTTCCTGAGCGGTAAAGTAGCATACCCTTGCTCCTACAGGACAAGCCCAGGCAGCAGCTACTTCCCTCCATTCTAGCTAGCCCTCATGTGACAGTAGGATGATCTCAGAGCCTACTGCATCGAGAGCCCAGACCTTAATCACAAATATCCCTTGTGATATTTGTATCCAGTTAGGGGTTTGGGGCTAGACCTCTTTGGCTTTGAGCTGAACAGAGCGGGACAGGAAGTCTGTCAATTCAACCCAGTTCTTTTGGACCAATACTGTAGCACTTCTAACTTAACATCTGGGGTGGGATTAGGGTAAAAAGCATGTACTTTTGGATTTCTTGGATTGGGCAATTGAGGCCAGCATACCCTAAACTAAAGAAAACCCCCGCCATCTAGATTGATTCACAAGAAATTTTCACTGGGATATGGAGCGCTGATGGTTAATGTTATATTTCAGTTTGACTAGGTTATAATTATTAGTGGTTTGGCAGACACCTCCCATTTTGTGATTGGATAAGAGAAGTTAGTTAGTTGCAAGAGCATTTCTCTAGGAGTGTGACCTGCATCCATGCTAATAAATGTTCTGGCAATGTTTGCTGTCCTTCTGATCATGCAGTTGTCTTGACTATTAATCCAGCAGGAGCCTCCAACCTGTCTCCTGACCTGCAGGTTTGGCCCCTGCAACCAAGATCAACCTGTCATCTGACCCTTGCTAATACCCACTACGTTATGAGACATTGTTCTCAATTTTGTGAGCTGAAGTAAGTTCCTTGAAGTAAGTATCTCTCTCTCTTTGTGTGTGTGTGTGTGTGTGTGTACACACAAGAGGGCTTCAAAATGTTTGTGGGAAAGTAGAATTGCCCCAATAAAGTGATTTTAAAAATAAAAAGAAAGTAGAATTGAAAGAAGGATAAGAAGAAAAAAGAAAAAGGATAAGTTTTCTGGATTGGTTCTCAAGTCTAGCTGCACTTAAAGGCACCAATGACTCAATTTCAGCAGTGGAGAGGGTACTGCTGATCCATAGCATGAGGTGGCAGTAACTTATCACTACTTTTGGATCAAATACTTTCTGAGAAACAAAATTTCTGTCAAACATGTTTAAGGAATCTGGTTAGTTGATCCTACGTTTGCTAGACAAAAGTGGTGAAAGAAAGGAACTGCTCAAGGTTCCAGAGTCAGTTTGAGCTGCCTAGCAGTTCTGCAAGTTGATACTTGTTCCCTGAAAGAAAGCCTTATTTCTTGTACAGAGCTCATACCACAAAGCAATCAACCCAGAGTGTTGTGCTAAGAGTTTCTGAACTAACAACTAAATTTCCAACTTTGATATCTGAAGTTAAAGGGAGGGCATTGCTTGGGAAGAAATGGGACTGGAAACTATGATTTGGATGTACAGCAGACAGGAAGCTGGGGACACTGAACCCCTAAATTCTGTTGAATCATCCTGCTAACAGAAGCAGCCTTGAGATTATGCCAACATTGTCTGCTCAACCACCTTCCTCATTCCTTTAACTTTATGTAAAGAGATTAACTCAGCTGTTTGAAAAAAACAGCAAGCTTAGTTATGGTCTCCCTAGGAGTGAAATAGATGGGACACTTGCTAGATATTTACTTGATCGTGTATGCCTGTATCCATTTCACTGTGTTTGCTCCTCTAGAGAACCCAGACTAAGACAGGAGCCAACTAAAGCAATGCTGAGTATCCACTAGGTACCACTGCAGTGTGACTGAGCACATGGAGTGTTCCCTTGCTTATTCTCTTGCCTGCATACGTAGTATCCCAATGATCTCATGTGGTATGCCAACTGACAACAGATTTCTGATATTTGGAATTCTTTCTTACAAACTTGTGCCATCTAAAAGTAGCATAGCTTCCGTTTAAATCAAAATTCTCTTCTCTCTTCAAGGGATAGTCAGTACAAACTTTGATATCAGTGCCAGAACAACCGGGCGCTCAACGGACTGTATAATCTGAAGTTGGAAGAATCGGTTGGGGTAAATGTATGTACAAACGTCTTTTAAAAGCAATTTTATTGATTAGTAGTTGACGTATAGTGAGCTAATTAAAAGTGTACGTTTTATAAGCTTTGATCTATGTGTACCCATAAAACCATCTTCAAGGCATTTAAAATATCAGCTGCAAAATTTACCTTGCGTTTCTTTCTTGTCATTTCTTGCCTCCTCATCCCCAGGCAACCGTTCACACAATATACATTTTTGCGTATTTGTATGGGGAGCCCTGACTTCTTTCAGCAAAGTAAAAATTTATATTAGGATCTTGATCATGTTGCTTGTTTCAATAATTTAACTTGTGGTCAAGTCATGTAACTAAAATTTAAATTGCTTTTATGTGTATAATAATTCAATGCCATTTCATGCATTTATGTTTTGCAACCATCACTTATAACTAGTTTCAAGATATTTGCCTAATCCCTAAAAGCAACCCCCTACCCCCACCCTTATTAAGCAGTTGCTTTCCATGAATTTACTCTGTCTGGAAGTTTCATGCAAATGATGTCAATGGAATGATACAATATGTGACCTTCTATATCTGGCTTATTTAACTTAACATTGATTTTTTTGGTGTTTTTTGTTTTGTTTTTCATGTTGTAACATCTATCAGAAATCCATTTCTCTTTGTAACTGAATAATAGTGCATTTTATAGATAAAACTTTTTTGTTTATTCTTCTATTGATAAATACTTGGGTGGTTCCCACCTTTTAGCTATTGGGTTTTTTTTAATCATTTTATTAGGGGCTCATACAACTCTTATCACAATCCATACATGCATCAATTGTGTAAAGCGCATTTGTACATTCATTGCCCTCATCATTCTCAAAACATTTGCTCTCCACTTAAGCCCCTGGCATTAGGTCCTCTTTTTTCCCCTCCCTCCCCGCTGCCCCCTCCCTCATGAGCCCTTGATAATTTGTAAATTATTATTTTGTCATAGCTTGCTCTGTCTGATGGCTCCCTTCACCCCCTTTCCTGTTGTCCGTCCCCAGGGAGGGGGTCACATGTAGCTCCTTGTCACCGGCCCTCTTGTAGCTATTGTAAAGAGTGCTTTCGTGGCTGTCCATGAATGAGCAGCTCGGTGCTTGTTTAAATTCCTTGGGTATATCTAGGGATAGAATCCCTGGACCATGTAATTTTATATTTTTAATTTTTTTAAGAAATTCCAGACTGCTTTCCAAAGCAGCTAAACAATTTTCAATTCCCTTAGCAATGTATAATAGGACTTCAAACAATTCATTGAAAATTTGAATTAAAAGTTAATAGTGTTTTTCCACAGACTTTTTGAAGCCCCCTTATATAAAAGGTTTCCCGATTACTCCACTATCACACAAAAACTTATGTTCTGGGTTTCTTGTTTCATTTTGCCATACTTTGTAAAACTATAGCCACCCACGTGGGTGAGAAGTGGTATCTTGTTGGATTTTGATTTGCATTTCCTGAAATTCATTGCTTTTTATTGCTAAACAGCGTTCCGTTGTATAGATATTCTACAAGTTATCTATTCATTCATCTTTGGAAAGACACTTCATTTTTTGATATTATGGTTAAAACTGCTATGAACATTTGTTTACAAGTACACATATGGACATATGCTTATATACAACTTTTTTTATTGTGGTGAAAACAAAGTGTGTTCCATTCTACATGTTCAATTCAGTGACTTTGGTTACATTCTACAGATTATGCACCCATTCTCACTGCCCTTTTCCAAGTCATTCTACCATACAGTAACATAACCTAAAGCCCCATAAGTAAAAATTTAGCCTCCCTGCCACCTTTAGTAACCACTAATAATCTTTGGTTTCTGTATATTTGAATATCTCATATAAGTGAAATCATAAAATATCTGTTGTTTAGCTGGTATGTTTTTAAAGTTCATCTATGTTGTGGCCTGTGTCAAGGCTTCCTCTCTTTGTGGCATTATATATACCATTGTATGTATATACCATAATTTTGTTTATTTATTCACCTGCTGATAGACATTTTGGTCATTTTCATCCTTTTGGCTGTTGTGAAAAGTGCTGCAGTGAGCATGTGTGTTTGTGTTCCCGTATCACGTCTAGGATTGGGGTTGCTGGATCACTGAGTACTTCTACATTCAACTTTGTGAGAAACCATCAAACTGATTCCACAGTTTATCAGTATAGACAACATTTTAATTGGTCATCTTATGTATATAAGTGAACCTTAAAACTGATGTACTGACACATCTGAAATGCTAATTACAGGTGTAAATTAAAACTCCATTCTAAATTAAGCTAACACTTTAAACTTTAACTATTTTAAAGAGGTGGTTCAGCCTTTTCATAAAAGTTTACATGTAACACAAATAGAACAAGAGTCCGGAATTCTATCTTGGACTTGCTTGATAAAGATTATTAAGACTGTTTGCAGAGTTGATCTTAGAAGGTACCTTTGTCAACTATCATGTTAATATTGATAGTGTTAACATGGAGCTTGTAGTTGTCTCATAACTCTATAACCAAGAAATAGTAAACATGTCTTAGGAGACACAGACATTAATTGGCATAACATAGTCCATAAAAGCGTGTTCTACACCCTACTTTGGTGAGTAATGACTGTGGTCTTAAAAGTTTATTAGTGGCCATCCATGGTGCAGCTATTGATCTCTCCCCATGCAGAGGAAAGAAGAGTGAAGAAAACTGAAGGCATCTGGGAACTATTAGTCCAATGAATT